CAATAGAATCTGAATGATTTTTTTCCAGCAGACATTGCAATGCAAATGAGTGTCTAAATACAAAGCTTTATTGAACGAATTGACAGGTTATTTAAAAATCTGCTTCAAGACTGGATATATATATATATATATATATATGGATATCCACAAGCTTTCCACTTACTTGTTTATAAATATAAATATAGATTTGAGTACTTGTTTATAGGTATTATAAATATTATATATAACTATTATATATAATTGTAACTTATTTCACTAAACTATTAATGCAGTCAATTCGTTCAACACCTTTTCTTTTACTTTTTTGAAGTTCTGGGTTGAATTACTTTTCTTTTCAGTCTTTGCAAAATTGTCCACACTCTTCTGTTCTAAATAGTTCTAGATAATTTCAGTACAGCTGTTGCATCAGCCTTCCCCTTCCATTTTGCTGTCCTCTTCTTTTTCCTAACTTCTATCTGTCAGCCACCGCCCCCAAGCACACCACCATTCTCCAAGTCCTCCTTCTTTCCCAGTTTTTTTTTCCACCACTTGAGTCTGTATGTCTTAGAGTCAGTTCGTGCTCTTTCTTGTTGTCTCCTCTCCGATCGCTCACTTACGCCAATTAGTTCTTTCGGGCTGGTCTTTGCCTCTAAAAATCTGAGGGCAGCTGGGGATTCTCAAGGATTCGGGGGAACCGCTAGCTAAGATTCTGTGCAGTTTAGAGAACCCCCAAATCCCACTCCTGGCTGGTCCCTCCTTCCCCTCCCAGGAGCTGTTTTGTATGCAGGTAAGTGTAGGGCACGCACAGAAGCTCGGAGAGGGTGAAAAACAGGCCTATTGGAAGTTCTGGAAGGCCATAAACAGGCCCATTTCTGGTCTCTAGAGGGCTTCCGGAGCCTGGGGAGGATGTTTTCGCCCTTCCAGAAGCTAAAGAAAAGCCTCTGGAGCCTGGGGAGGGCAAAAACACCCCTCCCCCCGTGGTGCAGGAGTCTGACTAGGTCATGCCCACCATGGCCAGGCCCACCCAGCAACCAGGCAGAGAACCCCTTGCTAAACCTTTTGAAGCCCAGCCCTGCATATAACCACTAATAATGTTCATAATTGCCAAATTGCACTGATGCTACGCCTCTTGAAAACAAGATTTGCACATTCATTTGTAAACATTCTGCTTAAAAAAGCCATGCATAAATATAAATGGAGTAATAGGTATGGATCTAACAATGAAAGATATGGAACAACCCTCAGTAACTAAGGACTATAAGCATTTCTGGAAAGCTAATATGAATCACACTACTGAAGGATGTTCCAATGCCACACCAGTTTGTGAAATATCCAAGAATATACTGTAACTTAGGTGCTTTATTTTGTCACAAATAAATAGCTTTGCAGACTAAGGCTTTTTTTATCCTATAAGTCTTCAGCGTATAGAAAAAGAAAATTAAATTTTCACCGAACAAAAATTGAACCAGACAGTCTAATTCCTTTCATGGAAACCCTATTCTACAATTTATCTTTGGGAACTGTAGAATTTTTGTCATGAGATATTCCCATAGCAATATGTAGGTGTCATCAATAAATAATTGTAGCAATTTATTCCCAAATTGGTAGCTCTGCTTGATCAGAATATGGGCATAATGCAAAAAGGCTGGCTTCAGATTTGAGCTAAATAATTGCACTAAAAAACACATGGGTAGATTGTAAAAGGTGGGGGGTTTTCTGTAAGAAGAAGAGGAGGAGATGAAATCTCTAAAAAGCAGTAGTATTCTTATTTTAAAAATGACCTTTTATTTACCAGCCTTCTAGGAAGCATTAATAAATTGTGATTTGAAGATAATTTCTCCTAATACTGCTACATTGGGAACTCACATTTTTAGAATGTTTAAAAAAATCTATTCAGACTACATGCACTTAACAGCATGCACAGGAGTTACGTTCACACTTTTGGTGAAAAAGCTATTACTCAAAAAGAGCAAAGCAGTTATTTCAGAAAGCACAAGATGGAATTGCATGATACTCAATTACAGACTGAAGCAGCATGTGCCTTCATTCCTTTTGACACTTGGCAAATTTCATATTGTGCATGGGCATCTGATAAGTCAATATTTGGTTTTAGCTAGCCAAGCACATATGCAAGCAGATTGCCTTGGAGGAACACATAGATTTATACAGTCAAAGTAAAGTCATGTAAGAAGCAAGTAGCAACACAATACTCCTTTGCAGAAATGAGTCATATATAAAGTATGGGGACTGATGAACCTGGACAGTTTTCAACCAAATGTTTCAAGGTAAAATAATTGTAGCAATATTTCCCCAAATGATTAGAATCCTTTAGTCATCAGCTTATATTTATTTTCTTTGCATCTGGCTTGTTTTCATAATGGGAATAATTTAGGCAAAAAAAAAAATCTACATTTTTGCACTACAGGTGGTCCTCGACTTACAACCACAATTAACCTCAAAATTTTTGTTCATAAGCAAGATAGTTGTTAATGAGTTGTGCATTCATTTTATGACCTTTTTTGCCATAGATTTTAAGTGAATCTTTGCAGTTGTTAAGCGAATTATGAAGTGGTAGGATCCTGCTGGTTTAATAAATTGTGTGTTTTGCACGCACACATGCACTCTGCACGCACACATGCACTCTGCACGCACTCACGCCTGATGTGTGCACAGTTTTACCAAAACTTACCTTCCATATTACTTCTAGGGAGTAACACAACTGAGATATGGCAATCCGCTCTGCCATGTAAATCAGCTGAGAGGATATAGGTAAGTTAAGTGTAAGGACGGACGGGTGGGCCACCTGATTGCCGGAATGAACCAGTTCACTCCCAGCTGATCGTCGGAGCTACCGGTTCACCTGAACCAGTCTGAACCAGGTGAATCCCACTCCTGGAATTATGCAATTATTAAGCAAATCTGGTTTCCCCCATTGACTTTGCTTGTGAGAAGCCAGGTGGAAAGGTTATAAATGGTGATCACATTACCCTGGGACAATGCAACTGTCATAAATACATGCCAGTTGCCAAGCACCTGGATTTTGATCACCTGACTATGGGATGCTGCAATGGTCGAAAGTGAAAACTGGTCGTGTCATTTTTTCAACATTGAACGGTCCTAAATGAATGATTGTAAGTCAAGAACTACCTGTATAGGCTATTGGAGTCGTGCCGCTTTTAACATTCCTTTCCCCCCACTATAGTTGCTAATTTTCTAAAAGATACCCAAGTATGTTGTTTTCTACCAGTGAGCCTTTTATACATGAATGTCATGTAACTGACATTTAACGATTAAGAATGTTGCAGATAGCTGATTTTTTTCTTTATTATATTACAGAACTATCAATATTACAATGTAATATTGTGTTATAATACAATGTATAATAATATAATACAATAAGGCAGCTGAGCAAGGGGCAGTGATTAGCAAGGGGCATTTTGAAACTGTAAGATGCTAGACATCTTTAAGGGTGTGGATATTTATAAAACATTTGCATTCATGTTCACTGAAGGGTGTATGAGAGAAATACAGGAGGTTGCTAGGCCAAATATGTCTCAAGAAGGTGTTCTCAGTACTTTCCCAGCAATAATAGATAAATTGCTACAGGTTTATTTGCTATAAAACATTTACCAGGAATGAAATCTGTGTTATAATTCTACACAACAAAAATGGAAAAGAAAAAAGCCCCTCAGCTAATGGGGAAAAAGATTGTCCCTGAATATATGCCAAATCTGTTCTTGATTATTTTTAAGGTTTTGTTTAAATGATGGCCTTGAAGCAGAAACTCTCATTTGCAGTTTTCAAGGACAATGCTATTCAAGCCAAAAGAGAAAATACACACCATTTATCATATAATAACAATTCTTGATGTTTTTTTACTTTTACATAATATTCTCCAATAATAAACACAATGGAATAAACCACACACACACATTCCTATTACCAACAAACTATTTGCAATCCTTGGGGATGGATGGATGAATAAATAAATTGTCTGAGTGCCAGAAATCTCTCCTTCAAATGCACAAAGTGATTACCTTAAATGGTAGATGCATTCCTATATCTTTGATAGATGTATTTATATGAGCACACTCAAGAAACAGAAAGAAATAATATTGCTATGAAATGATGTTAGAAGACCAAACAATGCAAGAGGCACAGTAATATCACCTACAAATAAGTATGAAGTCATCCAATATGACTGATCCACAATTAATGACCATTGCTGAAGAATTGGAATTTCAAGAGGAATGAACAGACATGTTTATAATGAACTACAGATACTCAAAGTGCTACCGTATTGAATTCTGTAATTTCTTTTATACGTGTGTACTTCTAGCCCAAGCCATAATGACAGTAAAGAAACCACAGGGGGAAAAGATGACAGATAAAAAGAGGGAAAAAATGGGGTATTTCTTTTGTGCTAGGTTTCTATGTGAAGGAAATATTCAGCTTTCTTTCCCCTTTGTGAAGAAAAGAAATGATTCCTGTCTCCTTTTTGCACAACTAGAATTGGGCAGGAAATTACACCTGCTTGTACCTCCTCCAAAAGCCCAGCATATGGGCAAACAGGGAATAGGGGACTAATCATTACAAAAAAAAAAAGACTGGCATTCATGGGAGGGTAAACTTCATTGCCCTTGAGTATTTATTAGTTTTCAGTTCTGCTGTCCAAAGCTCTCCTAATGCAAATTCTACAAGAGAAGTAAACATCTTCCAGGTAGATATAAGAGGAAGAGAAAAAGATCTTATGAACGTATGATCTACCCTGTTTCCATGAAAATAAGACCTAACCGGAAAATAAGTCCTAGCATTTTTCAGGATGATCGTAATATAAGCTCTACCCAAAAAATAATCCCCAGTTAAAATTGTCAGTCAAAGGGATGCATTTAGTACTGTATTTCCTCAAAATTAGGACCTAAACAGAAAATAAGCCCTAATGCACCTTTTGGACCAAAAATCAATATAAGATCCAGCCTTATTTTCCTGGAAACATGGTAATAAGAGGAAATGAATGGAACATTCCATGGATACGGGTGAACTGAGATGAATTACTTACTTGACAGGCATTATAGATCAATTGATGCTCCAATTTCTTTACTCCTAGAATCTGCTGGAACATCTCATATAGTTGTTCTTTGCTTAAGATGAGTTCAGATACAGCACTTAAAGCCATCCTAGTGGACTGTTTGTACAGATCCTCTTCCCCCCTGTAAATGGCATCATATTTGGCTATCCAAGAACTTAGCACAGTCTCTTTGCTTAATCCATCTATCTCAGGCAAGCTCCGGACTCTTTTTTCTATGTTCTTCTTAAAAATATCTCTGAAATCATTTGCTGAGCATCCACCGCTGTGGACCATCCTGGCAACTCGGTCACTCTTGAGAAAAACCTTTTGAACAAAAGAAGAAAGACATTAGAATAAAGGTAGGTAAGGAAGAGGCAAACAGATTTTTAAAGACTATTGTGCTGTGGAGCAATTTTAATGCTTGGATAAGGAACCATCTGGATATTTCATACCAACTAAAAACATCCTGGAAGCAGTCAGTAACAAACTATTTCCAGAGTATAAAAACAAGAAAAATCTTGTCAGTCAACAGCTATTGATTTTTACTTATGCTGAGCAATTTTTTTAATCATCATGTTTCAGATAACTATGTAACTACAACTTGCAATTGATCCAAATTATTCTTCTCATGTACTTCACCATTTTTCTAAATAAATTACATGTCTGAACCAAAACCTATTTAAATTTATATCCCTGAATGATTTTTCTATGGCTGAATCTAAACATAAATTTAAGTATCATTGGGAAGATACCTAACCAGGTCATTCCATGCATTCTAATTAGTTTCTTGAAAGGTACTTCAATAGTCCTTCTAGGATACCCTATTAGGTTCTTCTTCAAGGCATTGGTGGAAAGCAAAGGCCAGAGTTTTCTAAAGATATTCGCTATAAACATAACAAAAGAATAAGGATTATATGTTTAGGCTGCTGAATCTGATATGCTTTTAGTAATAAGTAACAGAACAAATAAACTAGACCTGGTACTTTTAGATACTTACCTCTGGGAATACTTTAGAAGATGGTAATAATCCTTTTGCCTAACTTGAAGAAAGTTTATTCTGTAAGAAGTTGACCCCAGGTTCTCTCTAGAATGTACACCCACCCTTACGAACCTTGCAATAAATTTCAAGGACAAGGCTTGGCTAGATAAACAACTTTATTGCAAACACAAGAAATCATACTATGAGAAAGGAACACTTCTCTACAAATGATTAAATTCTGGCTTTTCCAGGAAGTCATGGGATCTGATGTGGGATTTGGGGTCTCCACCCAGAGTATGGGGATTTTGGTCCTTTCTCAAGCTCTTTTACAATGGATTACAAGTGGTACTCAAGTTATGATTGCAATGGAACCTGCCCATCATGATTGTAACTCGTTATAGTCATAAAACAAGTTTGTCATGTGACCAATTAGATTTTACCACCTTTTTTGGGCAGTCATTGAGCAAATCACCACAATTGTTAAGTGAATGTTATGGTGGTTAAACAGACCAAGGGCTTGTTATGGGCATGGTTTTTCTGAAAATTGGAAGTAAATGCTTGTTTTCGGCAAAACTGTCACAAAATACAATCACATGACCATTGGACACTGCAAATGGCCATAAATGCATCCTGGTTGCTGAGTGCCTGAAGCATGTTCAAATAACTATGGAGGAAGAAACTATCAGAACTTTGAATCTATAAGTACCCTCCAGGTAGGTCTCTTAGAACTTCAAATGGTCGCTAAGAAACCAGTCATAAATTGAGGACTGCCTGCACTTGCATCCTATTTCTCACACTACTGCTCTGGACAATATTTACAAAATGGTCATGTCTAGTTCTTCTCCAAGCCTCACATTAACCATGAACCTGCAACATGTACGTGATTGCTTACTTCTTAAACAGAAAAAAAGAAAGAAATTTCAGGAAATGTACTTTTTTTATCTCTAAACATGCAGGAAAAAAGTGATTAGCTGTCAAATCACAGCAGAGGTAGCAAGGTTGACATGGAGTCTGACAGCCCCTTCAAAACTGATCACTTTTTAGGGCTATCAAACTTGTCTAATTCATTACATAGAAAAATGAATGGCGGCAGCATACCAATCTTCGAAATATACAATGAAGTATATGGCAGAGAATATCCTGTCTCACAAGGGTAAACAGTGTAGACCTACTACTTCTCCCCAATTGTCTCACAAATATTACCCAAACTATTTTAAATGTTGATTTTCCAGTTTGTGACTTTGTGTTGTTTTTAATAAAAGTATATTTACAATCTTTGTTGTAGTTAGCAAACAGCTAAATGTTTATGGAGATTCTCAGTCATACCAGTCATGGTTGTCCCAAATATGCTTTTTCAAATGGCAATTGGACTTTCTTGGTTTTGCTTCAAGATATTTCACTTCTCATATCTAGGCTTCCTGAAAAAGCACTTTTGGGATAGTTAACAAACAGATTACTTGTATTTGATTTTTAAGTCAAGGTTGGTGTTACATAGAGGTTTTGACACACTGGCACTCTGCATGTCTTCATTTTGATATTACATGTTTTGCTTAGACATATATCCAAACGCTAGCTGGATACCCATGCTTTGCTATGAAACTATGTGATCTGGCTTGATAAATTACATCATAACATCCTTTTCCCTCACAGTGTGATCCTCAGTTGGGTAGGACCACATGTGACATTAATCCAAATAAAAATAACAATCAGTAGAAGAAACATATGGTGCCATAGCAGAAAAGGAATGGGGAAAAATTTCATTGCTGACAGAAGATGCCCAACCATCTTGATTCTATCTGAAAGGCTATGCAAATTCATTATGTAAGGAAAAGACAAAATGGAAAAAAATGTTACATGGCTATTTAGCAGAATATAATCGTACGCTATATTCTGAAAAGCATAGTATGTAGCAAGTATGCTGGCCTTGATCAAATTTGGATCTTCAAACTCTATGTCCACTGTAAGAGAGTTGGGGATCTAAGTTAAAAACCCTTAACCCAAATACTCTTCTCAGAAAAAAGGAAGTATTGGCTCCAATATACATGGCATCAAACTGGGCAAATATTCCATTACAAAAAGACTTTTCTATGAAAATTACACTGTCAATTTAGCCACAGAACAGTCAGGAAACCAAGGAATGCTGAATAACTTGGGAAAAGACACTGGGAATAAGCAGAGCTCTACAAAAGCTAAAGAAAGTAATTCCCTGAAATACATTGTGGAATAACTGCCTCCTTTCTTTCAAATCCTCATTATCTTTGAAGTCTTGTCCTATTATGTCACAGTCACACTGGTCTCTCTGACTTCATAAGGCATATGGTATGTTATATCCAATGAAATGCCTGGCTGCTTCATCCAATCACATGCATGTTCTAATTTGAGTAAGTCTATTAAGGAGGACTGTACCTTCATCATTCTTTAATCCCCTCTTTTTTGCCACCAAAGCTGTCAGAAGCTCAATTAGTGCTTCCGTGTATTATGTCCAGAACTATACAAAAGTATCCCTTAAAAAATTCTATTCCATTGTCTATTAGAGTGGCAGATGATGCTTTCAAATATAACAACTATATAAGCAAAATGCCGTGTAGATTCTGAGCTCAGGGTTGATAATTAATGAAGGTTAAAAACAACATTCCAGAAGCAGCTATGCCTAATAAATACCATTCTCATGGTTGAGGTTTCTGAACTACTGGCTCACGGTTGATGATTATCTGTATTGGTATCAACACTCTTTCCTCCCAAAGGACACAGTCAGTGTCAGGCCTGGAAGCTATCTTTTACATTGAGCCATCAGGCCTGCCATATTTTTCTACTGTGGGAAAATGAGACGGGGGATTGTATGGAGTATGGGAGACATAGAGTCTAAATAAAATTCCTTTCTCAGAGAGCCAAGATCATCTTGCCCTGCACCTGGAGTGATGTGACTGGGAGACATCTCCTGTTGGGACGGTGCCTGATTGGACCATGTGATGGACATGTGGGTACTGGGTAGGGAATATAACTTTCACTTGGGTGGGGAAAACCTGAAAACTTTCAGATTTGGGTCTTCCCAGATGTGCCAATATGACATCTCTAATAAAATGGAACTTTGAGGAAACCCAAACTTTGGAGTATTCTTTATTTTGGGGTGTTACTTGGAATCTTGGCATTCAGTTTATTTGAACAACGGCAATTTGGTACCCTTGAATATCAAAGTACTGTAGAAATTCTGCATTTTCAAAAGAGGAAGCTAAGATGTCTTCTCTACTTTCAGTTGATATAGCTGTCTCCTTGTTCGGGTTTTGTTTCTGTCTCCGTTGCAATTTCTCACTTCTAATAGGATCAGCAGATGTGCACTTGCACCAGTTTGCCTTTGAGTGTTCCCCTCTATAAGAACTATGTAACCTTAGCCATTGCTCTTTGTTTCTTTGTGTATTTAAGAGACCAATGACTCATTAGAACATGCTTGCTTTGTAAAGGAAAGTAAAAAATATATTGGCTCCTCTTCAGCTATTGGTATTATTGGGTGAGATTTCCATCACAGTTGTCATCCAGATTACATTTACATTATACAAGTGGTCTAGTACATTTTCAGGTCAGCAACTTCCTGCCTTCTCACTCTCAACAAAGAAATTGGGTATTTGTAGTAGGAGTTTGAACAACCACCACCATAAAGTACATGGTTCCTATTCTTAAATGATGTATAAATGCATATGGAGATCTAACTTTTAAAACTGCTACGGAATCCAAGCCTCTGGGCGTTAAATGTCTATAAGAACAAAAACAACCAATGGACTATACATTTTCTTGAATATACTGATTAAATTTTATTAAAAATAAAAAGATGATATATTTAAATACATTTTTAAATTAGCAAAACATTAACTAAAATTATGAAATAGAATTAGAAAAAACAGTAGTTAGTTGTAGTATCCTCATGGCCACATGATCAAAATTCAGGCACTTGTCAACCGCCATGTATTTATGACAATCGCACTGTCCCAGGGTCACGTGATCACCATATGTAACCTTCCCAGCCGGCTTCCAACAAACAAAGTCAATGCCAGATTCACTTAAAAATCGCATGTTTCACTTAACAACTGCAGGGATTCAATTAACAATTGTAACAAAAAAGGTCATTGCTTAGCAATGGAAATTTTTGTCTCAGCTGTGGTTGTAAATCAAGGACTACCTGTAAATTATCATCCTAAATCAATGTAAAAACCATTCTAAATTGTTAGGAATTTAACAATTATAGCTGGAGATCCTCAAAACCCAAAACTTAAAATATTAAACTCTAATTTCCAAAATCACATTGGATGTTTTTAATATTGTCATAAAGCAAACAAACTAAACAGAATCAAAG